ACTCAAAACCAGCAAAATGTTTTAAATTCCTCTTAATTTTATGCTGTCTACATCTCGTTTTAAATTCACCAAAATCCTTCATTCATCAGAGTACATTAATTGTAAAATATTTTACACATATTTGATGTATATACTATTATACAATTATTACAAATTATGAATAGATATTTCTCCAGAAATAATCATGATTTTCCATCGTAAACCTCAACGTCCTATGTTTCTGAAACGAATGCAAAACCAGCAAAGCGATGACTTAAACTTTTTCCAGTTTTACATGGACTACATTATATTTCGATTTCTTGAAAATCCTCTCCATCGAGTGCGGCAAATAATCGATTTAATATGAAACGACCCTCGTACGAAGAGCGTCATTCGTTCGCGCGATGCTTGCTCAACGACGTTTCACGTGGCGGATCAACATTTCGCCGTGCGAAAAATACGACACGATGACGCGTCGCGTCCACAGCCTGTGGATAGCACTTAAGAACTCGCGAACTGGTTTTCTCCGAAGGATGCTTTTCAGCGTGGCGAGGCGAGCAGGCAAGGATGAGAAGAAGGAGAGACGAGGATCACGGTTGATTTTTTACCTTCGTGGCGACCTTGCCAGCCGAGCAAGGATCCTCGCGTTTATTGACCCCGGCAAGCGTTCTCCGCTTTAAGCCCGTTGTGCATTCGAGTACTCGCACCGCCCCCTTCCCTTTTCTCTGTTATCTTCGTCTTCAGCTGATGCTTTCGAGAGGTAAACATCCTCCAGAAACGAGTACAGTCTCTTCTCATTCGTCCAAGTTGTTTCAGCCGGTTCTACCTTGTCGCAGTTCGCTACCAGTCTTCCTTTGTACCCGTATAATCGTTTCTGAAAATCGAATGGTTTCCTGTTTCGCTTCTGCGTACTGGCACTATTATCCGCTTCGTGCATGTTAACCAATTAAATCGATGATGGAACACCGCGTTCGCCGTTGTCGTAATATATTACTGCTCCTGTTGCCGATCGTGTCGTTAACATCGCCCATATAAACTGCAATGGTTTACATTCGATTCGCAACGACTACGCAAGGTTCGCTGTACCGACTGACATACCTAAGGTGCAAATGACTCGCGTCAAGGACCGATCTGACCGTGCATACGCGTGCTTTCATAATTAACGCTGATTTGGATTCATTAGTGGGCATTAACGACGTTGAGTAACAGGCATGTCTTTCGAAATCCGGAATGTGACCGTGTCGACGACTCCTTCGCCCGGAGATCGCGTTGATGATCTAGGAGCGTCTCCAAATCGAGCAGAACCATCGTCTCATGTATCGACGGAAGCCGTAAAATGCTATGAAAGCGGGTATAAATTATTTCCACTTTCGAGAATTTTGTTTTGATGATGAAAATCACGAAAGCGACCGAGTTTCACTAAGTGATAACGAGAATCTTTTCTATAGAAGAAAATTTGAAAATTACTCCGTGTCTTAGAGCGAGGAAAATGTTCAGTCAACTAGCGCGGGAATACTGTATACGTATGAATACAATGTGTAGAATCTAATATCGATTTCTCTCTAAATTTTTCCTCCTTCTTCTGCTTTCTCCTCTATATTCTACACTTCTCTGCATTATTTTTAAGATTAAGTTAGTCAGAAAATATGTAATAGTTGCACTTCGCCTTTGTACCGAACAGGTATATAATTCCATGCATTCGTTTCACTCAATACTGGATGTCTTAATTTAGACGCAATAAAGGAGACGTGGATTTGTGATGCAAGACGACAAACGTAACTTCTGTTTTATTGTTCTTATCGATAATTGGTTGGAACGGTACCGCATAATTGGATCGTGGCTGCATAATTAATCCGGTATCGATCAGTCAGGCCTCGCAAAAGACGCAAGGCCAATGTCAGTTAAAAATTCTTATCGAATGCAATTTTTGTACGATTTTATATCACGACTCGACTCTGCTAGATGAATCATTTATTCAGCTAAAAATGATGAATTTAACACGACTTTAATTTTGAAAATAATATTAATTATCTCACCATACTATGGATACGTTGCACTAACGCGTTCGTGACTTCGGTGTGAGTCATTCGATGAGTTATCGCTCGTGACTCTCGGTTGCAAATTCTCGAACTCATTGTATTGAAACCATGTGACCGTGCGATTGCATCAAGGACGTGCACACCGAATAAAGAGCCGATTGCATATCGATTCAATCGGTAGCGGGGTGGGGGAGGGAAGAGGCAGACACTTTTCTTGATGCAAAACGATTGCCCGACGTCTACAGTTGATTCAATTTACTTCGAGAGCGTTTGATTAGTTTTAATGTTAGATAATCCTGGGAAAGATAGACCATGATTTTAACGTCGTCTGAAATTTAATATTTTAGAACTACTAGTAAATTCCTTTTTCTTAAACACATTCACGCGTACAGAAATTGTAACAAATTGGCATGGAAGAAGATGAATTTCATGTACGTTCCAATTTTACGAATATTTCCTTTTATCGAAATTTGCGACTATCGAAGAAACGCATACTAAGAGTCAGCGGATTAGACGAGCAACGAACGCGAGAGATGGTCACCGGACGCCGCAGAGCGAGCACATACCGCGAGCCATATTGGTTTCAACGGCAGTTTACGCGCGTTGGTTTTTGCTATTAAGGTCATTACCTGAACCTGCTCACGCGCGACTATGGTACAAGAGTAACATGTGTGCCACCATTAATAACTACACGTCGGCACTTGCGTTTCTTTGATCGCGCAGACTGTTTCTTCGAGCCGGCTACTTGTCGGAATGACGCCACGAGTTATTTCGATAACCGTTCCGAAGAAGGCGTCTCGTTTTTTTGGCCCATGCTCTACCTTCATTACGGATACGTTTGTGCGAACGTGTCCGTTTCTGCTCTAATAATAAAAACATTCCCCCCGAAGAGAAATTACCGCATTCCCGTTATTCGATCGAATACCAATCGAGCGTAGTTACGATGCTCTATGCGCTTGTCGTGACTTTTAAGATCGTTTCTTGCTTCGACAACCATCGTTAAAGTGTCCTCCACTAAAGCCCGGAACGTTTATGTTGTACCCATGAAATAAGAAATGGCATAATTCTTCGATAATCAATATATCATAACGCAATATTATGGTTCGCGTGATGTGTAATAAATGAAAACTTAGCTGATTAACAAAGCTAACAAAGAGGAACGAAAAGAGATTTATAGAAGACTTTTTATCCACGCGTTGAAATCTCTCTGGCATAATGCCTTGATTTCCAAGCAGAACAAATTCAGAATGTAAATAAAATTAACTCTTGAGGAGACGATGTTCATTTTCAATATTATATTAAAAATTAAGAGGTAGAATCTATTTTTAAAATGAATTATTTCCGGGCATGTACTCATTAAGACCACTTTCATTTCTTTTTAGATACAGTATTAGAAAGTTAAGTTTACACCTATAATTCTGAAATATATTGCACTCTATCGCCATGCATTTCTACTTTACGAAACACAGCACTACTTTTTCTAATACTTCGGTACGTAATAGTCTGCTGGTAAAAGTATAATTTTGCAATATTAATAGATCGAGGAAGAAAGATATTTCTGCTAAGCCTGCCACGTTATATGAACGGATAAAAAAAATTGTATTATAGTATAGAAATATTCGGAACACGTAATTTTAGGAAAAATTGCTTCCAGAGTAACAAAGTCTCGCAAAAACCCATTGGGGCTCTCGGAATATTGCTAATTACTGGTGCAACATTATCTCTTGCTTGAGAACCTCGACTGAAACTTACATAATAGATACGTAACGCAAATCGTGAGCGGAAACAGGCAACTTAACATTCTTCGAACGAATGTTTAGTTTTCATTCGAAAATCATGTATCCATATTGGACGCCGTTATAGCCTCCTGGATATTCCACGCGGTGATACAAAGAGGACGGACATCGACTGACTAATAGCGTATTCTCGGTTGCATTGTTCGCGACGTGTAATGTGCAACGCTCTCCACGTGTTTCATGTTTACGACCGGGTCACGTGAGTGGCCGCAAGCAATTACATAATCATCGGCTCGCCATCTAATAAACGAACGTCCTTTCTTCCTACAATTCTCGACAGACGTCTTTCTACGTACTCCCGTCGTTCGAATTTATTAATTACAAATGAAGCCTATTCTACAATTCTCAAGAGTTTTTCTGCCATAAGATTCATTCAAGATCTTCGATACTGCAGGACAAAAAAAGAACATTCCTGAATCGAGAAGACTGTACGAATAAATAAAACGTAAACAGCGTTGAGTAATTTTGGCTTACGAAGGTTAACCTATAATTTCTGACCCAATTAGACTCGCACAGAAGATCTGCTTCTTCACAGAATGCACTGACTCAAAGATGGACAAAATTTTCTTCGAACGTAAGATGTGTAAAAAGATCCACATATAGGGATTTGTTTATGACACTTATAATATTTCTATCTGTAATTGACAGTAATGGATAGTTTGGATATTATTTTATTCGTTGTTCGAGGCTTCTATTCAGATAACAAGTTTGCCAATCTCTGTTTTAAACTCTTCACGTGACCAAGGCAAGGACCATTTTCAACGCTTCGATGAAAGTCACCGAGGATGTTCGATGCAATAACGAAGCGCAACTGTGCGTATCGTGGGAGAACAGATCGAAAACGTTTCGTTCAATGTCTGCATTTACATTCACGTAACGAGCAAATGACTGCGTAGTAGCGGATGCACGCGCGAAAGTCGCTACGAGGTACCGATCGTTCGATAACGTGGCACGTATGCATACGTGTTCGTCGATTAACGAACTGCTCAGATGAATTTAAGTAAAGAGAACAGTTTTACTTGGTATTATCTCGATGCTGAGCTTACTTTTAGTAATAATTTGGTAACTATAGATTTGGTGAAAGTTCGCGCGAAATCCGCGCCATTTCTATGGTAGCGTAACGTCCCCTCGGTCGACAGTCTTTGTGGAAGAGAAAATAACGAACGATCCGTTCCGTTTCTTGCAGGTCTAATGATGGAGTCCGAGAAGAAGATCTTCGAGATGATGAACAAAAAAGCGGGCATGTCGAAATATTGGATGCCGCTGGTATGGGCGACCAACATCATCAACAGGGCCAGAAGGGAGTCCCTGATAACCAGTGACCAAGTAGTGCAGACCCTCCTTGTCGAGCTCAGCGACATCCGGAAGAGGCTTGGCGCGCTCATTGGTTACGACACTGTTTGCGTTCCTCTCGTTTACACTCAGGTGAGTATCCTGATTTCGAGCAAACCATGTCAAACGTGCGTTGCTGTTAATATCCTCCTGTTCAATAATCCGAGTGTTTGCGCACGTGAATATTGTCAAATACGGGATCGTTCGAAACGTACGCTGACTGTAGTCAGGAACATAGTTCGTGACAATGAACTCTGCAAACGGCTGATCCCCGTATTATTCGCAAGAGTAATTCGTGATGATTGAAAAAAGTTTGAGAATTACTGCACATTTCTTTCTGAGGTCACACTGAATACCGATAAAAGATACATTGTTTCCAATCGTCTTATTAGTATACAAGGCCAGTTGCTATACGAATGGGTTCGAAAAGACCCAAACATCGTGGGAGGAAGGTTAACTATATTTAAATTTCGATCTGTTTACTCTGTCGAACGTTTTAAGAGTCAACAGACTCGATCGATTAATGACGCTACGTACCGTTCTTTTTCATCGCGCTGACAAGTCGCTAAGAGGTCGCATAATTGCGGTGGCGTCTACTGTCATTGTAAAATGCCAAGCACTTTGAACGAACATCTTCATCTTGAGCCAATTCTCATTACCGTCGCCTCGTCGATTCGATAACGTCGACAGTCTGTTACATTGTGTAATTTGTAATTCCTCCCGTGTCGCTTATCTCACACCTTACAATTTGTACATGTATGCTGTGTCTCCCAATGTTTCCCCAGACAAAGGATTCATTATGCAGTCCGCGACAAAAAGATAGGTTTACTAAGCTTTATTTGCACAGAACTCTTTAACTTTATGTTCATAGCTAATTTGAAGGATGTACAACTCTGGACCTCGCTCTTCAAAAAGCCTCAAATAAATGTTTACGAATACTTTATTTTCGATTTGCCAAAATGTTCTCAATTCTTGATATCTTAATTTCAACGTATATTTCTGACTTGCTGACGTGATACAAAGTGCAACGAACTAACAAAGAAAATATCTAATATTTCAACGTCTTTCACTATTTTCACGCTTACTTTATCTCGAAATTCGCGACAGTGGTGGCCACGGAGACGGCACTTCCGACGTTAAGGTAACGTGTACTAACAGCTTGTTTCTATTTGCTCGGTTAAATCCGTTTCAGCGGCAAAGAGTTAACGAGGTCCGGAGCAGTTAGGATCATTAGAAAGTACGTCACCCCGTTGCAACACGATACCGCAGATAAAAGGCTCTGTGCGTAATTGTGGAGGCTGTTGCGCTCAGAAATCGTCCGTTTAATCCTGCGGTACGACGTTGTGCGCCACAGCCAGGATCCGCGTCAACCATGATCTAACCTGCCGGCTCGCGCGTATTATCCAGTTCGAAGGACTCGATTCATCACGGCGCAACAGTAAAACGGATCCGTTCTCGGAACAATGTTTCGTACTCGCAATTAGCCGACACGTATGCATTGTGCAACGCTAATTGCTCATCAGCTAACGTCCCTAATTACCGAGTGCAGACGCCATCGTTTTCGCAAAGTTAAAAGAGCTCGCGGCGCCGTAATCTCGAGCGTTGTACGTGTTCGTTTGTCGAGTGGCCTTTGAACGAACTTCGTTTACCGAACCCTCCTCTGTATTCTGCTTTTAATCCTTTGTTTGAGGAACCCCTGCTTCGTTGAAAGCCTTGACAAGTTATTCGCGCATGTAACATTTTGAACAAAAATATGATCTAAGGACTGTAAATATTTTGTCTCGTGTAGTCTGTCAAAGTTGTATTTATAGTAAAACTATTTTTGGCTTGGGCGAGGTACACACTATTTTTACCCAGCGATTTAAATGTTAAAGACAGTAAAAGTATTTACCGAGAGTGATCTGAACGTCGCGAAATAAATCAATCACTGCCGAGTTCGCGACTGAACGGCGAGAAAACATTCATTCATCGAACGATCGCGTCATCGGTTACGAATGACGATCGCGGAACGCGAAATTCGAAGACGTCGATCACCTGGAGGTGAAACGACCGACCGGCTTTTTCCTCGGAGGCAAATATCGAGAATCGCATTATAGGTATATTTAGATCGAGCGCAGACATCGGGGCAAATCGACACGTTAGTCAGCGGTTCATTTTTATTCCTGTTGCTGTTGCAGTGCACATAAATTAAAGCGGTAATAGAAGAATTCCAACGGTGATTCGCATTTGCTTATCGATCGACGCAAAAGTATTTCAAATTCTCCTTTAAAAAATGGAACAGATTCGATTCGAAGTGAATGCAATCTTTTAAAGTGACGCCATCTTGATAGTGGGTACAGATGGTACTTTACGAATTTTTTGTAGCAATAATCTCGATAAAAATGAATTTTTTATTATGAATAAAGTATATAGCAATCTACGAAATGAAATTTTTTCTGCTTACGTTAGACGCGAGCGAACAAAATGGTGGTGATCTCATACGTAGCATGAAGATAGGTAAAAGCAGAGTTTAAATGAATACAAAATATGGAACCTGTATTACACTGTTTTTTAAGAGTTCAAACTAAGAAACAAATTTTGTTCCATATATACGCCATGACGTGATGTAACCCTTTGAGCGGCGAATTTCTGTCGTGAAACATTTGAAAATAAACGTTTCCTCAAATTGCTTCGTTGAATTAACAAACGAAAGGACCGAAATTATGTTAATTCCTGATAATTAAGAGAATACATAGAAGGTATTCAAGAAGAGTAACCCAACCGACGCGTAATTATTCACTAGTAATGTTTTCGTAATGAAACGGTGCCGAGCCGAGTCCCACCGACGTTCTTTCAGCGTATAAATCGTAACATGCCCCATCTCTGGCAGAAAGATAGCATAAAATTGCAAGGTTACGCGTAAACCGCCACGGTTGTGCGTGCTGCTTAATGATACGTTTACAGAACGCTTCAACTTGTACGTTTTGCGTGTCCCATGGTTAACTTGAACGTTTCCACAGCAAGTGTCTTTGCCTACCCGCGTTTCATAATTTTCGCCAGAGAGAGTAATTCACCTCGATGCGACAATGCGCTTTAATTACCCAGCGAAACCGCCGCACTGAATTCTCATTGTTCCATCAGGGACCTTTTATTTCCTTGTACGATCACGAAATTGAACTTTTAGCAAAAATTCTTTCAGAACTATTTATTTACTAGCTGCTATTCGCGACCTTCCTTACGTTAAATCTTCTCATATACGAACGAAATATGTACATAAATATTCAGAAATATATCACACGAGAGTTAAAGTGTTAACGTTTTACTACTTTGAGTTCGGCCACGCATTGAAGTCATATCGAATTTATTTAACGAAAGCCAGCTGCATTACGAATCTAATATTTAGGATTTCTTTAGAAAAATTTCTCGAGATAAAACTGTTTTGTGAAATATTAGAAATCTATTGCTACAGAACATGTGGGCTTCTTAAATGGTGCCTGAGAGTCACGTTGATAAATGTATATTTTTGAAGAACTTTCCAATGTAAGTGAATGTATCGACCACAACACATAAACTTCGAGGTTAATGTACATCGCATGGTCAAGGTCTGCAAATGAGTTGACCAGTGGTTTTTTAAAAAGTGGCGTCAATGCCGCCAAAATAATTTCACATCCTGTCTCGAAACTTGTATTTCGATTATCAACGGACACGATCGTGGAAATTCAAAGGTAAATCATCGATTATTTCTTCTATTACTCGTAACCAGCGTTTGCATAAACTATCGTTTCCTGGTGGCCTTCGACGAGAAAGGCAGTGCTCTCGACGACCTTGATATTATTTCATACAAACCTGTTCGTCCGCGCACCGTGAAAAAATGACGATACTGTTAAAAAGACTCCTACCAAGCTACTGACCTCGTTTGAAATTCCATACCCTTTAAAAAGGGAACATTCTACCTTCCTAGTGGCTCGTTTACTGTTTCGTCGCATCGCTGGTTTTTCTCCGCGCCCCAAATTGTCTCGACACCCCTCGTTTGGAAAATGGATTTTATAAAAATGTATCCCTGAACAAAAAATGTGGAGAAAGTAACGTCCGAGAGGAGCTATTTATAGCGATGCCACTTATTCCTTATCGTCGATCACTTTTGATGACACTTGTCTCACGCGCAGAAAGTGTATAACGATCGTTCCGAGAATCGAATAAAATGATGCAATCAAAGAATATATGCTCATCTATAAACTTCTGTTGGTTATTCATTCGCTGCCCCCGCCGAGCTTTCGTGGAAAACGTTTGATCGACGAACACGACGAAATAGCGGTGCTTGGTTTCTTTTATCGCGCCTCGTGAAATTAACTGCCGATTCGATTTGACGTCGTAAATTATGTTTTATTTACGGATTTGCGTCGCATAAAAATCAACGTGCGTATTTCACAGCCCGAACGAGCCTGAAAATTATTTATTTACGTTTTCCAGGTAGTCACGCTATCGCTGTACGCGTACTTCTTTTCCGCCTTGCTCGGCAGACAATTTATCGAGCGTACCGACAAAGGTGGTGGGAAATACGAGGAACCCGACATGTATTTCCCATTTTTCACGGCTCTGCAGGTGAGAAAGATACATGACTCTAACAACCGTTAATCCGTTGTTGCGTATCAATCAACTCGATTATCTCGTTTCAGTTTTGTTTCTACGTGGGATGGTTGAAAGTCGCCGAGGTGCTCATTAATCCCTTTGGCGAAGACGACGACGACATTGAACTGAACTGGCTCATAGATCGACATATTAAGGTATAGTTATTATTCGTATGTACAACCAAAGTAAACTTTTTAACCAGATAAAAATTTCCAGGAAATTATATCTAACATCGAAAAAAATTGTGTCCACCTTTGTGCATAATACTTTTAACAATGTTAACGTCATCCAATATGCAAATAAATTCTTCGCTGATCAGGTCATCCTGCAAGTGATGTGTCTTTAAAATTAATATTAAGATTTAAAGATACGAACCACTATTTACAACAATGTTCTAACTCACACTTCTTGGATCCCTTCTCCAAAGAACTTCTACAAACCAATGTTTATTCATTAACGATTGCAAATGAACCTTCGGAATATTGAAATTTGTACTCGTTAAATAAAATAACAAGAATCATTTGCATTTTCTTAATATTAAAATACATTTAATATACACCTGTTACATCTTTGCCTGTGTTTCACTATTTAAACTAATAGAGCAATGAAACGCTTCAAATGAATTCCGTTCACTCTCACTTTCCGATTTTTCTCGAATAGAAAATAACAGCCTTGCATGCTTTAACCTGTTTCCTCAGACCATAGAAGTGTTCTTTTAAACGTACAAAGAAATAAAAATACGTGCCTTAAAAAAAAAAAGTTGATGGCCGTGAAATCTACCTGCCGATTCTACCCATGTGCAAAAATGCATGCCCTAAAACGTTTTTAATTGATTTCATTACACTTTTATATAATAATGAACTAACATTCACTTTTATGACTGATGCTAAACTGCTTTGCAACAGAGATTATAAGAACCGTGACCAACTCCTGTGGCGTACTGATAGGAACTAAAACTCAATCGCGATCGTGATTTGCTGTCCGCGAACCTAGCTCGTATATTCATGTTTGGGCCAAAATGTTCATCACGAGTCAGGCTCGTTAAAGTACGGGATGGGGTTAAATAGAAATAATTTGACTCGATAACGCAAAAAGACTGTACACCACCGTTCTAACTGAGTTTTGATTCATCGATATCATTGTTGATACACTTAACAGGCAGGATATATGATCGTGGATGAAATGCACGAGGAACATCCAGAGCTGTTGAAGGATCAGTATTGGGACGAAGTTGTGCCGAAGGATCTACCGTACACGGTGGCCAGCGAGCAATATCGACGAGAAGAACCGAAGGGATCAGCTGAACACTATAAGGTCAAAGAGAGCGATGCTCTTTATGCAAACGTTATGCTGGGTACGCAGATTCACAATCACGTTCAGCATCGCAAGCCCCACCAGGATGACATGTATGCCGATTACGTAAGTGCACGTCACGAAACAAACTTGAATCCATCGATATTCAAACGACCACCTGCAGTATAGTGTCCTTGCTGAATCATAATTAATATTTGGCAACAAAGTAATCGTCCGAAGGTAAAACAAACTCATGCTCATAACCCATAAGTAATTTTTGAGACAGTTTTCTAGTTGAATTAAATAACGTGCGCCACGTAGAAAATAGACAACAATATACAAAACTAACAAATAATAAAACATTCACGTCTAAGTGGCAATACACGTGGCGGTCGTTCTTAGGCAAGAAAATAGTTTATTATTCATTAATTTTAAACATTATTTTTTCTTTGTACAAGCCCCATCAGTGACACATGCTATTACACTGCAGAGAAAAAAAGAACTTCCATGCGAGAAGTATTGGGTCAGACGTTATAGTCAACCTTCACAAGGCAAAGTTAATCGACGTTGTCCACATTCTACTTACTCGTAGTACCACATTCCCCTTAATCCGTGACTGACGTTTCTTCCTTTTTGCAATATATTTAGCCGTCGTTAATTCATAATTTTCTCTTATAGATAGGAACATATATAATTGTGTGTTCTCAATATGTTCTTAATTTGGCAAGCTTTTCAACGAAATCTATTCTCTTAAAATTGAAAAAAAAAACAATTTTCTTAATATTATTCGTTAAAATTTTATACTTAAGAATTTTGGGACTGGTGACGACAAATTTGAAATTAGATTTTACAAATTTCAAATGTTCTTGCAAAAAATTATTGAAATTTTGTTTCGTCATACTGAATTTGCAATTTAGAATTTAAAAGATTTAAATACAGATATTGGTTTTCATAAAAATTGAAACCTGAAGCCGTGGTGGCTTTTTCGGCCCTCCGAAGGATAACAAACTTACTGGCTATATGCATGAATTTATTTTACTTAAATTGTGTAATACGTTCGACGTCGATTAATTTTCTTTTCTTTTTGATTTTTAACGTTGTACGTTTCGCAGGAGAGCGTCGACACTCCGATAGTGGAGCGAAGGAAGAATTGGCTGCAACGACAAATCACGCGAATGGGTTCTGTACGCAGTTCCTCGACCACTTACAGCAGTGGCGGTTTCTTTTCTCGAAATCGCCACAACAGTGTCTACAGCAGCCCTGAAACTGGAGGGATGCCGCAGACAAATAACCCGAACCTGAAGATGTCGCTTTACGATCGTCTGGTGGGTGGAAAGAGTATTCGCAATCAACAATTGGGTCGACAAGGCAAGTATTATATCTCGTGCAAACGAATACATTCAGAGACGACGAGAACCTTTCGAAACTTTCAAATTGTCCTGTGCTACAGCGACGTTACATCAGTGTATTCGGCAAACTCGACGCAAATAAAGTTTGGAAGTTCGTTTCGTGGACGTGTGAATCTTAATTACCGGCTGTGTTAACACACCGGTACACCTTCTGTAATGACGTTAATTTCCAAGCCACTTAAACGATAATGAAGCAATCTTATATAATGTTCCCGCACGTCTCAACAATGTATTCCACCTTGCATAAATTAGTCGTGTTAATCAGAAGCTTAAATCGAAATATGTTCGTTTCTTGCGCAGTCATTCAATTACAAAGCAATATTTTCATAGCGAGCATAAGAAGTCACGTTAAATAACGATAAAACAAAAGCGAGCGTTCGTTTGGCGAACAAGTATATGGTGTGGAACTAGTGACGTAGACAAATGTTCGTTATTCGCCGAATATCAAATATTTGCCGTCGGGTGACGGTTACTATATAGGTACGAATTGAAAGAAACATCCATCGAATAATCGAACGTCAACGTTTTTTCGATTCACACAATTCAAAAGGAAAATATTTTTGACAAAACTTCCATCACTGATAATGAGTTTTTTTTAATATCTAGGGTTAAAAGTTTCTATTAATAAGAAAACAATATTAAAGGAAACATTTTTCTAGTTTCGCTGCCCTAGACTAACACACCCCCAGCGGATGCAATAGAATATAAAAATTATAAACGATGTGACGAAATGTAATTACGAAAGTTAGAGTCAGTGTTGAACGGACACCGATACAATGGGGGGAAATTCGTAATATTTAACAGTCGAAAAGAATTTACCGAATAAGAACATAGAGTGGAGATATGCTGGAACACTTTGGCGAACAGTTTGTCGAACGTCTGAACGACAGCTATGATTCTCCCGTTTGCTTGCATTTTTTACCGCGACACGATCTTCTTGCGCGACCGTCGCGTTCCATCGCGAAGCGAGAAAAACTTTCAATGAAAGTCTCGCGAATGTACCTCGACGCTTTCCTCTCTTCGTCGACGCGTGCAAGGGATTACGCAACGCGTGACATTGAGCCACCTAAACGATTTCCGCAATCGCGAATCGCAGTTCTCGAAAAAAAAAACATTCCTAAGGCCTTGTGCTTCTTTCTTCGCCCGTTCCTCTCGCTTCGCGGCGGATAAGAAAAAAATCCACGGCGGGAAAAGTGGCGCGCAATTATATCATCGAAGAGTACGCGTCTCGTTCGCGCTGCCCTCCGGCCCTCGTTCCAGTAGGACGAAACACTGTGAATCGTTTCCTCGTTCCAATCGACGATCGTTCTCCAGCGGTAAAAATAACGGAGAAAGAAATCAACGATCATTGACAGCCTCGGTTGGCGATTTTCCCCGACACCAACGATTTGATCGTCGCGTCGCCTGGGAGACGTTCCTTGTTTTTCGAAAAAATGGGCAATATTTGGAACTTTTTTCCGAGCGAAGTACGAAATCAATTAAACTGAAATTTTTCTTGTTGATTAGAATACTTATGAAGACACTACCTAAAGTTTGTCGAGTAATTTACTGTAATACTAAACGGATTACTAATGATATTTTGGTGCTGGGCTAAAAATGTCTTCGTGACCGGTAAACACGATTGCAGTTTCAGTGTTTTCTGTTTACTCTGGAAGCAATTCGACACCAGCAGATATTTAAAGACAACAATATCATTGAGCCCGGAGTTGCCTTTATCTTTTGCCGAAAATCAAAGAAAAGGCTAGTTAGTGAGATCGAATGTCATCTACGAATAACATCTGGGTTTATTTTAAGAATTATTAATGTACTACCTTCTGTAAGTCAGTTGTAGCAGATTGTTTCAATAGTTAACAAAGCTCGAGAATAAAGCTAAAGTTATCTAAAGCTTGAGAATGTCATTATGAGAAAACCAAAATATATTTGTGGGTAACCTAATATACCATTGTCCTTTTAATGCTACTTCAAAAAAATCTTTCACTCTACTACAGTACATGTTTAGATTCACAGTTCTATAGGCAGAAAAATGCTACCGTTATAATATATATGACTCTAGGACAACTGAGACTACTTTTTACATGTTTCCATAGTAAAATAAACACTTGGGAGAAAAGGTACCTTAATTACAAAGTAAATCAAAGTGCTAATCGAATTAGACCTATCTCAAGAACGAAGGGAACACGAAACAAGCGCTTACTTTTTAGGTTGAAAGAGCGATATGTGTTAAACAGAACGCAACCTCGATCGTCCCGTGTCCGGTACCAATGCGTACGCGCGCTGATCGAATTCATTTCTGTTCACAGTTACGACGACGAAGCCGAGCTCGATGCCAATATCCCTGAAGAACAGACCACGCATACCGACGCCAGACGTGACGAAAGAGGTGGTAGACCGTGAGCAGAGATTAGCCCTGTCAGCGACGAACGCCGCGAACATCGGCGCGGGTGTCGTCGGAGTAATACCAACCAATGGCCATTACCCGACGGACCTATCGGTGGTGCAGGTGGTGCTCTCGCCCATTCAGGAAGCGGAGGGCACCCCCGTGACGGGAAAATCCGGAGCAGCAGCTTTGGCGCAGGCCGTGCTGTCTCCAACTTTAACCAGCGCCGGATTGGTGGCTCCGGTCACCCTGACACCGGTCACAATGAATCAACTGACGCATTTAGGCCTGATGACGACCACCACCGCGTCGATGCTCAAACCTAACAATCATCCGAATGGTATTCAAGCGACTCTGACCGAGGTGAACAGCAGCGAAGAAGAAGGCTCTGGCAGTGGTAGCAGTAGGAGTGGTAGCATTACGGGGCAAGAAGAACGATCGACGCCATTGATCACCCCTTTGATCGGGGACACGAACAGTCGGTTGGACAGCAACGGTAGCTCACCAACGTTCGACAGCTACACCGACCGATCTCCCATTCTGATGAGTCCCGAGAAATTGGGCTACGTAGTCGCCACGGTGCCGACTACCAACCAAAACGGCAAAGCTGGATCGGACCCGCGAGGCAGACGATCGACATCGCTACCTGGCCCTCCGGTGTTGCAACCTAGAGAAGACAGGAGCATGTCTCTGCCACACTCGCCAGGATTACATCCGAGAGAGAATCGTGCGGCTTCCGTGTCGCACGGCCCCGACCCTCCCAGCATCGACAGGCTTTTGGTACATTGCACGCAGGACACGCGTCACAGGACCAGCAGCATCGGCCATGATCTTTGCAGGTCCACGCAGCGCGTCCAGGACACCTCGAGGAAGATCAGTAACGTGTCCTGCACCAACGCATCTCTTTCGAGCGGGCTCGGTACGCCGGCGAACACGGGGACCAACATGGGGCCCGCCAGCACACCAGGCACAGGCAGCAAGAGGGGGGAGGTGTACGTCTGACCCGAGACACTCGGAAGCAACGTCGTAGATTATTTTCTGTCCCGTTCGAGTCGATCGTAGCGCGACAATATCGAACGACCGCTTGCCTGAAAAATCCGACTCCGTCCGTCATTCGCGATGACTTCGCGCGGTGAGAGCAGGAAGTAATCTTTCCGCGACGAAGGATAATGGGGCTCTCCGTCGAATCGATCGTGCTCGTTATCGTTGACTACGCACGAATCGCTGGACAATGTCGGGGAAAGCTTCGAACTACTGTAAATACCATCGTAAATCCTGAAGCATCCTAAACGCGAACGAAAGTTCGACATCGCGGTCGATGTAAAGTTACCCGAAACGCGTCGTATTATACCTGCTAATCGATTCTGTGACTCGTATTTGTGTGCAATAATAACGAACGGACGCAGTTTCGCGATTCCTTCGCGGGAATCTCGGAACAATACTTTTTTTCACCGTATGTGCAATAACGTAGTAGCGAGAGAACGCGCCGGTCGAGATTACGACACGTGCCGTTCTAACGCTCTTAGGCTAGACATTCTTTCTTAAAAGACCCGAAAATGCGACTAATTTAAAACGAGTACGTTCTTGATACACATAATGTTACGCTTCTGTTGTCCACGGTTTACTTTGGGTACAGTCGGTGGAACAGATATAGCAATCTCGTGTATGTGCTTGTAGGGTATCGATTTTGATCAAAACTGCGTTTTTAAAATTCATTTCAAAATTCAAAATTTGTAAGTATATAAGAAATATGTGCCGACATGATGTTAATTTTCAAAGTTAGATATTGAAGAAAATTTTGAACACGTCTCATAAATTTCTACGAATAAAACAAAATTTTGGTCTCGTAGAAAATTTTACAGGTTTGTTCTAGCGATCGACATATTCTTCACAAAGTTTTTGAAATTAATTTAAGTGGATCCCTAAATCTGTTCAATCGACTATGCGTCGTAACATTGTGATACAAATCTTTCAGTGTGATATACGCAGAGGTGGATTTGAGAGTTTTCGCAAGTATTCGAAGTATAAGTTTTCGAAACTGTACTTGGAAGAAGTGAATTTGTTTTTTGTAAATAGCCGTCCGTCGCGAGACGATACGCGACTCATCGCTTTCGCAGTTCTTGAGGTCCATATTTATTCGATGAAATACGGGGACACGACGTATTCGGCGCGCTCGAGAACGCTTCGAAGCGCTTCGATTTCGCGTCAGGAAATGACGATTGCACGCGCAACGTTTGCCATATTTGCTATACTCGGAGACACTTCGCGTAAAATTGCGGGCAATTGAAACGGTAACGCTCTGTCTCGTGTCTCGAGACGATGTCGTCGACTCAGCATATTATTTTATGATTGTGTAACCAGAGTTGTGTAAGTTTTATTCGCGAATAACAAATACAAATTTTAGAAAAAAAAACCATTAGCGAATTCTAATTTACGAATGAAACGTAAATGGAAATTCGTTTGCAAATGAATTTCAAATCTTTATTCGTTATTCGTGAATTAAATTTGTGTAATTCTGTTGTTGACCCTGGTCCTACCTCACTATAAATTTGGATCACGTACCAAGTTTGAATAACTGTAGGGTCTGAGTAAATTTATCTAGTAATAACTTAATAATACATTGAACATCATTAGTATATAAATTTACTTGCAAACATTACTCAAACTTGCTATGTGACTCTATAGGATTAGGGTTGATACGTTGACTATTCGTACCTGGAGTCGCGAATGCGACTCAAACGTCCAAAGAGACGAGATTTTCATTTTAACGTTCTACTATCTTTTCTAGTAACTATGCGTCTCTCATGACGTTGCGATATTGTTTAGTTTTAAAAACTCTTCTAAATTATCGGTACAGACGATGTTTATTCTGTGCTGAAAAAGCTTCGAAGTCAAAATTATTCTAATTCACACGCGGGTCAGCGAACTATCAACTTGCTAGAGCCATTGTCGAGTCAAGTATCTGATCAAAAATACTTCCCGTTCGAAAAAGACTGTCCTTTTTTACCTTCTCTATTTCAATGATAGTTATTTACCTTTTATTCTCTATTCGAAATTTTTGATCTAGTTAAGAATTTTGCCTATCTTCGCACTATACTGCTGAATTATATAAAACAATCACGATATTTAGTTGAAGAAAGGGTTGACTTGACAATGAATTTAATAGCTGTTCGAAAAGCTGGCGAATCGATATGCGTAATGAACGTGCGTGATCAACGATATTTGAACAAAATCCACTTAACTTGGCGAACTGTACGGACGAATGGACTTTCTTCTCTTTACGAGCGTGCGCATTTGCTATTCAGTTGTCCGTATTTAATCGCGCAACAGCTCAAGAATTTTTCTACCAACTCGGTTTTCATAGACCACTTAGTTATAAATAACGAAGATCGGTATACTAGGAGGATCAAGTATGGTGGACGAGCGGACGTACGTGTATATGTACATAGTAGAACAATTAAGTTAAGATTGTTTGGTGTATGAGATTACGAAGATGCTCAATGGAGACGGACGACGAGTAGCGTACGATACGCGGCGAATTTGTTGTGTCGTGATTCGATACTTCGTCGTCGATGAGGATCATCTCTCAACGATAAATTGGCATCACCTTAGTTTGACCATTAGTTAGTAAGAATGATAGCTCGAAGCGCGAAATATGTAAATACGAAAGTATTTTTAATCTACTTGTTGTTTCATTCATTCTGGCGATGTTGTAACTTAAGCGGAGCTACTTTTCCTGTTAAAAAAACCGTTAATTTAACATCGAATACGTGAATAGCGACAAGGAAGGAGAATGCAATCTGGTCTCGTTGAAATTCGGATCGACGCGATCAGTAATTAACTAAGATTGTCCGTAATTTTGTTTAGTTACGTAAACCATGATAATACGATCAAGCTCCGCTGTACTAAGAACAGAAATTACTATCGTCAGTAGCGAGGATGTGCCCTTAAGCATACTTCTGGGTAACATAATATTCCATTGAATGTTCTATGCGATCAGGAATGCGTTTTACGCCACGAATAAATTATTTAGAGCGTATTTGCTCTGTTGAAGAACACTAATTATATTAGTCGAGTGCTGCGTATGACTGTCGACTTCGAACAAAGGTAGGAGGCAACCGAATTTGTAGATATTTAACTCACAGTATTTGTAAATAGATAACATCTCGGAAATAATATCTTCGATCTGAGACTCTGTTTATAATATATCGGTAAACAATTGTTTCGGTGCACGAATTGTGTCAACGTGACGCGAAAAAAAATATCACTTTTAAGGATAGTAATACGTTCTTATTATCTATAATCTATATTAAAAATAAACGTTTTGAAAAGTGTCCGTGATTATGATTATTCTTTCCAAGATATTTATAGAGCTCTTGAAACTAATGAACCGTTTCCTCATGACATATTAATGGCTGTAATTAATTCAAAAAAGACCCATGCTCGTAATTATAATCGTGATTTTCAACTCACAATAATACACGATGTCAGATGCGTTGGATATAGACGTCGAAACTGTTGGAACCAATACAAGCGATTTTCGACCAGAAATGGACAAAATTTTTATCTACATAGAAATAGCGAATAAAGAACTGTTCAGCCGTTTCTCTTGAAATAAAAATTTCTATTTCAATTGAAGAATTAAGTACGTTAAAATGAACGAATACAAATTTAACTCTTCGACAAAGGCAAGTCAAAAATTGATCGTAACTAAGGACGAGATATTAAACTTAAGAGTGTCGTTTGATCATTTCTCTCTAAGAATATGAAATATTATACAGTGAGCGATCAATAAAACTATTTAAAATTCAAGCCATTCTCAATGGATGGGTGGAACTCATAATAACAATATATTTTGAGATTGACCAACTCGAAAGAAACAAAACCGAGGTACAGAAAAGGACGAGGTATATGCAGCGCCGTGATTCCTGGATCCTACCCTGATAAGCGAACGCGAAAAAATAATCGCAACACTAAAAACAATCGCGATCAAATTCATATTATTATATTTGCAACGCGATTAGTATTCATATTTCGCAACGCTACTGCAAACCACGATTAGTCTTTATACGCAACTCTACTCTGGAAAAACAAACGCGAAAAATTCTCATTGTGCGCAACGCTAAATGGAGTTACACAATTTTCATCGTTCGCAACTCTAAAATTAACTATGAAACTAATTATTGACAAAAATAACAAAACAAGCAACGCGAATAATATTCCTTTTCGCAACACTAATGCAAATCGCGATTTACCCAAAAAAACTGGTCGTTGTGGGACTAGTGCCATCTGAAAAACTACTAAATCTACTGAAACTACAGGCGAATACAGTGACAAAGTAGTAACATAGAATGGCTCTCCATCCTCATCCGAAAATGAAGGTGAAGAGCCATTTGTTGCAGCCCACTCTTGAGACAGTTTGTCAGGGCCTCTTCGACTCATCGAGTCTTTTCTTTCTTCGGCGGTCCTGCCGAAGCCTGAAACTTAAGCCTAGACTCGAGATTCCGTGCAATACACAGCCGGGTGTGGAGAAACTCGAGCGGAACGAGCGTTTCGAGAAACCTTCCGCGACAGAGAACGCGACCGCGAAGAGTGACTCTAAAGTCGCGCGATTCGAAGAATCGAAAGTAAAACCAAAACAAACGATAGCATCAGTTTGGATCGGTTAACGTTTCAACTCTCCAAATCGAACTACAGGAACAGGTCTGCCACGGAAATAATATCTGTGATAGCCCTATAATCCTGACCCTACCTACTTAGGTCTAAACACACACACCAGAAAGTAAGCTACCTACCTACCTAATCCCATATTTAAAAATTAGCAAAACGCATTCTCGCAAACAAGCACTCCACGGTTCTCACACATAATGCCCGGGCGCAAGAGCCTAACCTAGAGAGGACACCCCGGGGCGCCTCCGACACCCGAACATTGAATACAACATTCACAGTCTAAGGTACGTACCAATTTCCTGAAATCAGCTGACAAAGGCTAGTGACTATTGCGTTTTAATTTTACATAGTCTGATAAAACTATTCGTTAAGTCGTACATGTCCGTGAACTCTTCGACAGACATTCCTTACAGATCGTCGTCGGCACATAATTCGAGGGGTCTACAATTTCTTGTACCCATCTCGAGAAAATGTCACAAAATTCTCAAGCTAATATTATTAATTAATCAAAAATTATTTGAAAAATAAGAAATAAAAATTTAATAATTTTATTTAATTTCGTAAAAATATATTATTACAAAATACAATTTCATTTTTAAAGTATAATAAATTTTTAAACGACGCAATTTCCACGTCCTAACCATACACACACACACCCATGGGGAAAGTACGTCGTGCACAGTACGCGTTTAAATTTTACATTGTCTGATAAAAGATATTTTACCCGTGTACCCATATGCTGTCGTTACGTCGTACGTGTCCGTGTGCTCTTCGACAGACATACCTTGGAGATCGTCATCGGCACATAATTCGAGGGGTCTACAATTTCTTGTACCCATCTCGAGAAAACGTCGTCATGTCGTTGAAAAAATCCCCAAGCTAATAATATTAGCCATTTTATAATTATTCGAAAAATAAGAAATAATATGTCGTCCGTGTGCTCTTCGATAGACAATCCTTACAGGTCGTCGTCGGCACATAATTCGAGGGGTCTACAATTTCTTGTACCCATCTCGAGAAAATGTCGTCAAGTCGTTGTAAAAATCTCAAGCCAATATTATTAATTACTCAAAAATTATTCGGAAAATAAGAAATAAAAGTTTAATAATTTTATTTGATTTCATAAAAATATATTATTACGAAATACAATTTCATTTTTGAAGTATAATAAATTTTTAAACGACGCAATTTCCACGTCCTAACCACACATACACACACACACACACACATGGGGAAAGTACGTCGTTCACAGTACGCGTTTTAATTTTACATTGTCTGATAAAAGATATTTTACCCGTGTACCCATATGCTGTCGTTACGTCGTACGTGTCCGTGTGCTCTTCGACAGACACACCTTGGAGATCGTCATCGGCACATAATTCGAGGGGTCTACAATTTCTTGTACCCATCTCGAGAAAACGTCGTCAAGTCGTTGAAAAAATCCCCAAGCTAATAATATTAGCCATTTTATAATTATTCGAAAAATAAGAAATAATATGTCGTCCGTGTGCTCTTCGATAGACAATCCTTACAGGTCGTCGTCGGCACATAATTCGAGGGGTCTACAATTTCTTGTACCCATCTCGAGAAAATGTCGTCAAGTCGTTGTAAAAATCTCAAGCCAATATTATTAATTACTCAAAAATTATTCGGAAAATAAGAAATAAAAGTTTAATAATTTTATTTGATTTCATAAAAATATATTATTACGAAATACAATTTCATTTTTGAAGTATAATAAATTTTTAAACGACGCAATTTCCACGTCCTAACCACACACACACTCACACACACATGGGGAAAGTACGTCGTTCACAGTACGCGTTTTAATTTTACATTGTCTGATAAAAGATATTTTACCCGTGTACCCATATGCTGTCGTTACGTCGTACGTGTCCGTGTGCTCTTCGACAGACACACCTTGGAGATCGTCATCGGCACATAATTCGAGGGGTCTACAATTTCTTGTACCCATCTCGAGAAAACGTCGTCAAGTCGTTGAAAAAATCCCCAAGCTAATAATATTAGCCATTCTATAATTATTCGAAAAATAAGAAATAATATGTCGTCCGTGTGCTCTTCGATAGACATTCTTTACAGGTCGTCGTCGGCACATAATTCGAGGGGTCTACAATTTCTTGTACCCATCTCGAGAAAATGTCGTCAAGTCGTTGTAAAAATCTCAAGCCAATATTATTAATTATTCAAAAATTATACGAAAAATAAGAAATAAAAGTTTAATAATTTTATTTGATTTCATAAAAATATATTATTACGAAATACAATTTCATTTTTGAAGTATAATAAATTTTTAAACGACGCAATTTCCACGTCCCAACCACACATACACACACACACACACACATGGGGAAAGTACGTCGTACACAGTACGCGTTTTAATTTTACATTGTCTGACAAAAGATATTTTATATGTATCCCAAGCTAATATTATTAATTATTCAAAAACTGTTCGAAAAATAAGAAACAATGGTTTAATAATTTTATTTGATTTCATAAAAACATATTATTACGAAATTGCAATTTCATTTTTAAGGAATAATAAGTTTTTAAACGACGCACATCCACATCCTAACCACACGCACACACATGTGGGATGTACGTCGTGCACAGTACACTAACGCAATGTCAGCCGCTAATAAAATATACTATTATAGTCATCGTGCTCATTGCCTTTACTCATGCAAGTAGCACCTGAGCACTTGGATGAGTTCAGCCAACGAACACGGAAAAATAACCTGAAAATCCTGAACTAAAAATTTGATATATATGAATATTGAGAATTTTATTATGAAAGAAAATTGTTGCCTTCAAAGTTTGATTATTTAAAAGAAAAAAATTTAATTAAGATTTAACAAGAAAGTAATTTAATTCAAAAGTGTAAAATAATTCATTCAAGTAATTTTAAATTTATTAATTTATTAAAGAAAATATTCAACTAGCCTTGGTACCATTCCGTCATCAAAGTAAATTTGTTAAAATACGAAAACAGCATAGAATGTACATTACTTTGATACAGATCTGCCCATCAGAAATCTATCCATCGCGAAATGTTTTCTTGTACATGAAATGTTAGGTTTTCTACTAAAAACCAAGTACAAAATTAATCGGATATACTGGTCTCCTATTCTGAAGGAGAGAGATATTCCCTCGTAAGAGTCGGTTTCCTGTTTATACAAAGATGCGATAGGACTTCGCATAAACACAGAGGAGATATTGGTCTCCAACGCCGCAGTTCGTGCAGTTAAGATGAAATTCATAATATTTTTCAACGAACAACGAAAGACTATAGTATCCTTCATAGATAATCATGAAAGTATATTTTAAAGTGAAGTGAAAGAAATATAAATAACGATCACTATTCAATATGTGAACAATATTATCAATAGAATCATTATTGCATAATCAATGTATCCAAAAATAAAAACATTTCCATATTGGATTCATATTATATACATTTTTGTGTAATTTCATTTTGATATTACAGAAGTACATGCTTAATTTTACATGGAGCATTTACCACTTTAAAAAACGCGGAGTACAAGAAAACCCTGAACTA